GATTTATTAATGACAAAATTATTTGAACCTGATAATCGAATTTGTTGTAGTGTGTTAAGAATATCTATGCTGTTAGAACAAATGAACAAGAATGAAAAAATTACAAGGAATACAAAATAAAACTTGCTTGGCTTAGAGGCACGTTAATACATTTCTTGAAGATAGTTGGAGTCTCTCCCTCGAGCAATCGGAAGAATAAATAACAACTCTATCTTCGGGATTCAACTAAGCCACAAAACAAGTAGCATTCAAGAATGTTGCTCTTCTATTCTTGAATTGGTGATTTCACCTTTTGATCAATGTCTCACAAGTGTTTTCAAGGGAAAGTATTTTTATTTGAAATGCTTATCTTTTTCAACCAAAGGAAACTCAATTTATAGGATAAAAAGTTTTTGCAAGAAAAGATTTTTAATTAATAGAATTTATTAGGTTCATGAATTGGAAATAAAAAACTTGTCTTTCAAAAACCCATAACGTAGAATTAAAAAAAAACTTCTTGCAAATGTTTGTAACATAGAATTAAAATAAATGAATGTTACAACTCACATTCATGTATTTGTTATTTCAAAATGGATGAATTTGTTTCAAAATTAATTGAAACACTAACTCTTACAATCCCCCACTTGTTTCAAGAAATTTTATCTTTAAAAAAAAATCCAAAAAATATTTTGAGACATTAATCTAGCAACATGCATCATTAATGGTGTCTTTTGGACTTGAACCATTATCTAGTGAAGGTTTTTCTAAATCATTGACTACTTAGTGAACAAATCTTGAACTAAGTGCATCATTGAATGAAGTTTGAAAAATACCCCACGCATATCACTATGTTCCGGTGAAAATCGAAATCCTTTGACACCTTACGGCCATGTGTCCTGAATCCTTTTTAGCCAAGTGCTTTAAGATTTCCTGTTAGAATCTTATTGACGCGGCCTCCACTTCGCACCTAGTGCGGTGAATTCATCAAGAGTAACTTTGCAAACTCCGACCAATTAGTCTATGAACTTCATTAAGAGAAATTAATCTCATCCTTCTTTACACAAAGTATCGGTAAATCTATCAAGAGTATTCCTACACACTCCAATCGAAATCGATTTATAGATTTATTAAGAGAACATAATCTCATCCTTCTCTTCAGTAGGAATATCAAAAAAAAATTATCAAGATTTTTCTTACTAACTCCAACCGAGATCGGTCTTATAAATTTATTAAGAGAAACGAATCTCAATCATGCACATCTTCTTATTTCATTTTATTTTGGAAATGAGAATTTTATTGATGTGCTTCACAATTGTTACTTTACTTGTTTTTCCCTTTGAACCCAAGATTACATCATTAGGTAGGGTTACCATAAAGTACAATTAATTTACAACAGACTTTATTCCCATCTCATTACAAGTTTCCACCACTAACTCTTTGCCTAACCCTTTAGACAAAGGATCCGCTAAATTAAATCTGGACTTCACATATTGAAGCGATATCACGCCTTCCTCCAATAATCTCCTGACATGATTATGTTTGAGACGAACTTGTCTCGACTTGCCATTATAGCAGTCACTTGAAGCCCGAAATATAGCAGCTTGATTATCTCAATAGATAGTTAAGGGTGGTATTGGCTTACTCCACAAAGGAATATCTATTAGCATTGATCGCAACCAATCAGCTTCTTCTCCAGCAGAAGACATAGCTATAAATTCTGACTCCATGGTTGAATGAGTAATACATGTTTGCTTCTTTGATTTCCAAGAGATCGCTGCTCCAGCCAAAGTGAAAATCCAAGCAGTAATAGATTTAGAGTCATTCAGATCAGAATTCCAAGTAGAATCACTATAGCCTTCAAGAACAATGGAAAATGTAGAATAATGCAGGCCAACATTAATTGTACCCTTCAGGTATCTTAAAACACGAATTAAGGCATTCCAATGTTCAACTCCGGGATTACTAGTAAACTTGCTCAAAGTTCCTACTGCGTAACCAATATCCAGCCTGATACAATGCATGGCATACATAAGACTCCCAACAATCTGAGAATATGTCAGCTGACCAGAACATCACTAGAGTTCCGCATTAGTTTGATGCTAGGATCAAATGGTGTAGGAGCAGGTTTGTCATCAAAGTGGCCAAACCTCTTTAGAACTTTCTCAATATAACTTGATTGAGTAAGAGTCAAGCCATTTGCTGATATTATAATTTTAATACCCAAAATTACATCAGCTTCTCCAAGATCTTTCATTTCAAATTGAGAAGCTAGAAAATTTTTTGTTTCTTTGACTCTTTCAATATCAGTTCCAAAGATCAGCATATCATCTATATAAAGACATATTATAACACCAGATTTTTCTTGAAATTTGCTAAATATACAAATATCACCACCATTGATTGAGTAACCATTAGAAATCATTACTCTTCTAAATTTCTCATTCCATTGTTTTGGAGCTTGTTTTAATCCATAAAGAGATTTAAGAAGCTTACAAACTTTGTGTTCTTGACCAGGAATGACAAATCCTTA